ACTATTTAATACCGTATTTTAAACATATATATTTGCCCACGTGGACATAAAAAATAATGCAAAATTATAAATAGTAATGTGTCCACGTGGGCACATATATACCTTTAAAATACACTATTAAATAGTTCAGGGGGTAAAAAATACGGTATTAATAGTCTAGTGAGGTAATAGGTCCTTATGAAAGTTTAGTATCGCAACAACAAATTCGACCATAGTTGGGGTATTTTTCAGATTCTTATCCCTTATTTTTATATAGATGTATGTACTAGTAAACAGTCTACCGTTAGCGCAATCAAGAATAACCTTACCTCACGATGCTTATAAATGTTGTTTTCCTAGTATCTGAATGGTAAAAATAATACAAAGTAAGATTCTCGTAAACTATTAAAATATGTAGAACAATATTTTTAGACATAGATTAGAAGTTTGATATCATAATATATCATAAGAAGCTCTAATGAGCAATATTTTTCTGATAGTAGCTTTTGTTAGAATATGAGATTTATTCGTAATATTTTATGTATCAATTCTATATTTTTTTTAGAAATAATTTTTGACAAATTTACAATATCTAATAGTATTTGAGAAAATTATAAGTAAAGGAAAACTGTCCGCATAAAACTAAATGAGATAATTAATTTCTTTTTACCAAACATATATTCAAAATTCGATAGCTAGTTATTAATTGCTACTCATAGTATAAAATAAATAACCTAGGAAAGAATAAGACTCCTAATTGTTGGTAGGCAGATTCATGGCCTCTTTGATTAAAATAAAAAGTGACGACGCAATTACTATTAGAATTAAAGCTCAACTGCCCTATGAAGTATGAACATTTTAATGTTCCGCCAGTTGTATACTTGTGAGTTGTAACAGTATTTAATAATTAAATCATGTTTGATTATTATAAATAAAAAGTGATTTCATTTTTAAAATTTGTTTACGTTATACTAAGAGATAATAAAATCATTTAACTTTAAACGTACAATAAAAATGTTTTTCATAGCTTGTCTTCTATGGAGGCCATTTTTATCTTGAATCTGATATCTTCATTTCTAATCTTATCTCTCCTAGTATAACAATTCTAATTTTATCTCTCCTAGTATGCCCAAGATACTTAAACCACCTTTCTTTGAAAGACATGTGTATTAAGTTGCATTTTTCCATGCCAGCCGTAGGCCTTACGTTACTGAACTTGCACTCCAAATATATATTCTGTCTAGGTTCTACTATACCTAAACTCTTTAGACTCCAAAAATTGTCTCCAAATCTCCAGCTTAACATTAATTCAGGCACGAGTCTCATAATTAAAACTACGTCATAAATAATATGAGACATTTTCTTAAATATATCGCGCCAATTCATCCATTATCAAAACCAATAAAAAGTTAACCCTAATGCAGCCCAATCACAACCGAAAGTGCCCACCACCAAAACCACCAGCTCAGACCGACGATCACTACCAGAAAATGAAAACAAACCCAAATTTGAAGCAAATTAGCCAAAAAAATTATCAACGATCACCATACTTTCGTCTCTCCTTCGTACCATAGCCCATAATCCTCCAAAACACAGTTAACAGAGAACAAAAAGAATAAATAAATAAATTGATGATTGATTGAGCCATAACCAAATATGTTGTGTATATCAATGTATAGCTGGTGATTGTTATAGAAAAGTAGAAATATATTCATATTCCCTTCTCACAATGTATTTAAAATAGTTATTGATCTTGTTGTCTTACAATTTCTCCTTAGGTTTATATATCCATATAATAATATATTTTAATAGGAAAAATTTGTAAATAGTCATTATAATAAACTTAATTAGGCTCTTTAGCTATAGTTTGCATATTTACGGGCGATAGCTATAGTTTGCATATTTACGGGCGATAGCTATAGCTTACTCGTTTGTATAATTTGTGGGTACGTTTGTATAATTCACGTGTATTTGTATAATTGAGTTATTTTCATCCGTATTTGTATAAGTATAATTATGTTGGTAGACTTTTGTACTTATATATTTTTTATAAGTAAAATATAGAAATATACAATTAGAATAACTATATACATTTACACATTTATACAAATATGGGTACAACTGTAGCTCTAAAATTGGATTTGTTATTCAGAGTAATACAAATTTCTAAATAATATACTATGATAAAACTCGAAATAATGAATTCATACAAACACAAACATCTAAACTTTATACAAACTTTAAAAAGATTTACAAAATTGAATGTATCTGATGATAAAATTGAAAACCCAAAGGAAATCACCGTCATATACAAATACAAATCAAACGAAGAATTGTTAGTGACGAATTATACAAAATTCGAACCAAAGCCCACGTAATTAACGTTATATGTTAGTGGTGAATTGTAAATTAGCTAAACTTTAGTTATATTACCTAATTAACTAGTATATATTTGCTAATTTCCCCTAAATTTATCCATTCAATTTTCACTTCTTTTATTGCTCATACTACCTCAGCATGATTTATTTTTCAAAAATAAAGGAAGAAAAACAAATTTGATCAGATGGGCTCCGCCAAAACCGAGTTGTTTGGGCTTTAGTTGAACGATAAGTGCGAGACCAAAAGGAAGACATATTTGCAGAAATAGGATCTTTTGATGCTATTATTTAAAATTTAACCTCATTAAGAAAAGTGCTATAAAAATAACTGTTTCACAAGTAGCAAAATTTTGGTGGGTCATCAGGATATTTAAGGGAAAATTGTATGAAATAGCAAACTATTAATTCAAATTAAATACTATAGCCATAGTTTCTTTTATTTGTAATTCGCAGCAAACATTCCATGTTTTTTGTCATCCCATTTGTATATCGAAATATACAAATAGACCCATTTGGTATACATATGTGTTGTATATATGTAGTATTTTTGTTTATATACAATCACTGTGTTTTAGTTTGTATACCGAAATATACAAATACAGATTTTTATATATATGTATACTGAAATATACAGATTAATAGCCATAGCAAACATAAAATTTGCTATGAAGCACAATTATACAAACTATAGCAATAACATACAAATATGATTTTTATGTTTGCTAAACCTAAAATTTACTCTTTATTTAATTTATATTAGACGTGGTTTTCTTAACCAGTCATGGTCAAGAAATCAAGATTTTGGATCAAATCTCGACAAATTGCCAGGATTTGAGTCACAAGTTTTGCCTCAATAGCACAAGTAATGATGATCATTAACATTTTGACCACATTCTGATGAATCAACAAGATCATTTCAGCATTTGAGACTGAATATCCCGATAATTCGTTATTACTTAGTCAAAAGTTTCGACAATCATCATTGAGTAGGAATTTAATTTAAGCGACACATTTTTTCTTCATAGTTAATCCAAATCAACTCCAAATTTAATAACTAGCCTTATAATGTCAATCCAAACAATTTTCAGTTGCAGATTCAATTTAAACTTTCAAAAATTAATACACCAACTTTTTTTTTCTTCTGCAAATTAAAATAAAGCTTAATAATAGAAAAAAAATGCATATACTTCAAATTTTGAACCGTCCCTTCACGCCATGCTAATTCAAGCAGATGAGAAAACTTGCACAAACCAATGTTTTAGAAAAAACAATCAATGGCAATAACTTTTTACTTTAGGTATATAGCCTTGTAAGTCTGTAGAGGTAAAAAAAAAAGGTACTTAAATTACAAATTTTTCTTTTTCTTGCATTTTTAGACAACATAACCAATTTTCTAAAATGCTTCTTAATTAGAAGAAAGTAACTTTTGATTTCATTGTGTTAGTACGTCAAGTTACGTTGTTCATTATTTGTTACTTCCCCACAAAGGAAGACAACCGATTATAATGTGTGAATATTAAAATTTTATTAATGATGAGGTCAAGAAAGTATATAATAATCATAAATCTTTCACCTACTCAACACCTTCTTTTTTTTTGTCGAAAGTAGGCAACCTTTTTAGCTCCAAATCATTTAATTCCAACAACGCCCATCTTTAATTTTTTGTGCAACTTGCATTATTTATACCTACATATATAATACTATAACAACACACACACACACACATGTTCAAAATAAACTCCAGCATTGAAATTATATAAACAACAATAATTAGTTATCAACTCAACATAATGATAATGTTTATAATTATAATCATAATTGACACGACGAATAAACATGAATGCATGAATATATGTTATCTACGAATAGAAAAATAAAAAAGCAAATCGAGAAATTAATGGAGATAATATATCTCATCTTCTAGGATATTCCAACAGAAGACCTTCTTTTATTTTCTGGGAATTTAGACAAGAAAATCTCGTTACTTCGTCAAGATCAACATTCCTTGTCATCTTAATTATTGAGATATTCCAAAATATATATATATAAATATATGTTAAACTTCTATACACTGATATGATTAAAAAATATTTACACCATTATTCTCTACAAACATTGATCGGCAATCAATCTTTAATAAAAACTCAAAATAAATTTGTTTACTTTTCATTTTCCAACACATATAGATAAAGAGAGAAAATTGATCTGGTATTAATTAGGAGAGGGTGGACAAGAAGCTTCAAAAATATAGTTAGGAACTAATTAAGAGAATGGAAAACAATTAAATAGACAAAATCAAGAGAAAAAAGAAGATATTATACGTGATATTGGCACGGCTCAATTAAATAACGAAGTTCTATATATAAAGAAGTGTGCTTTCTAATTGAACCGCACCAATATCTCGTTTGAAGAATTAAAATAATCTTACCATGATATCGAAGCAAAGATTAGGCAGCAGATTTTAATAAGTTAGCTGAAGGGAAAGTGAAAAGGATGGGAGGATATATATAGATAGACAAACAGGAATCTTGAGGATACAGAATAAATATAATGGTAGGGAAGTAGTTGGCATATCTTAGTTGTAATCAAGAATATTATGCCCTCTTATATATACATATGGTCCTTCTCTCTTTATATAGGGGTAGAACGCCCAGACGACACCTCTAGAACTACAACTTGATGAGATCAATCTTTAAAGTTTTCTTAGCATGTCGAATTTATTGTATTTGTAAAAGAATTTAAGTTACGTCAATGTAATGATTTACCCCATCAAAATCAATGTAGACTTGAATACGATAACCTATCTTATTTAATTTTTAAAATTATAAATCTCATATTTTACAACCCTTCTTTAGATGACCTGATAATATAAAAGACAACATATTTAACTTAAACTCTTTGCAAAAATAAGTATTTAAATATAATATTATTGAATTTTTAGTAACTATTCAAAGTGCACATAAAAAATATTGAATTTGATGAATTCATTGCTTTAGTGTTACAACCGCTACTAATAAAGTGATATATATATATATATGTTGCTCAAACTTTTCTACCGACCTTCAAAATAGTGCATATATTTAGAAAACTCTGTTATTAATACGATAATAATTTAAAGGAGTTCGAACAATATAAATGATGGAGTGGGGGGAGGGGGGATATGTGATATGACTAAAGGAAGGTGAGAGGAACAGACATTGAATATTGCCAACAACCCAACAAGAAAAAGAAGGTTGGTATATTTACTGTAAAGCTAGGGAACGGATGAAAAAGCTCACTGAAGCAATTCTGTAACCTTTTTCCATATGCATTTATTATACTTAAATAAAATTAGAAAAATGGCATTTCAAGAATCAATACTATGAGCTATGACACCTAATATTTTTTATTTTGAATTTCAAACTTCTAGCTAGCCCACTTTTTGGGTTGTTGTTTACTTTTAAGTATTTGAATTTTTCTTACCAACGATGATGATGATGAGACCAATAACGTAACCGACTCTATATTTTGACCTAAAACAAAACAAAAGGTAAACCCTATTATAATTTCAAAATTCATTATTAGTGGCAATTTTTTCATAAATTTTATTTATTTAAAAAATAAAATAAAATCTGTTATCTTAGTATATATGTATGGCATATTATTGCACTAGTATTGTTTATAAATGAAGAATTCAAGAGGTTTTACCTTTGGAAGAATTTAATAAATGAGGGTTTTCACGTGAGAACTGTGAACAGCATTTTGCCTCTCCTTTCAGAGAAGAAAAGTATTGAATGCTTAAATGACAAATCCATGACCACTTTGTACCTCCCTTGCTCTGCATATGCATTACTGTGGATGCTGCCCTCCTTTTATTTTGTTGACAAGGAACTTGCACGCGCTACCCTTTGAATGTGCATAGGTAAATTTTAAGCTATGAATTTTACAAATTATATGTTGCACACTTGAACTTACTCCATTAAGATAAATTATGTTGCTATACTAAGCCAAAAAGCATTAGAAAATTCTGACAAGCAGTTACTCAACTCTTGGATGAAGCAAATATCACCTTTGCAAAGCAAAAGAAGACCATCTGCAAACCTAATTGTACAAGATACATTCTAACCAACATGGGTGGTGGTGGTGCATTGGTGGGATTACTTCACCCTTAACCAAAGGTCTCGGATTTGGGTTCGAGCCTTGGATATGAAGAAAATTCTGCTCGGAGCGCCGTTCATTGTGCGATCCATATTTAGTCGGGGTCAAATATAATGTGGCCTCCAGATTTAGGACGCGAAACAATAAAAAACAAGATACATTCTAACAAATCTTGAATGGAACTTGAAAGTTGAAACTAGTCTCGTTCTTCAATATCTGCAGTCATCATATATATTATTATAAGTGGGAACATCACAAATGAAAAGTTGAAATATCAAAATGCCCTTGTAGAATTAAATGACTATTACCATTTTCAAGGTACAAAAAAAAATATGATTTTCCCACTTTTAGTTATCTTTTTTTCACTAATTCTTTTCATTTTATTTAATAAGAAGTCCAAAAGTCCATGTAATGTGGGTAACATCTTATAAACAAAAGTTCAAAGATCACAATTGATCTTACAATCGTTTCTAAGCCAAAATGGTGAGTCTTATTTTGAGTTTATACTTCTTTTTCATTTCCTCTATTAATGTTTTGTTCAATCCTTCAAGCTTTGTTCTTAAAATTTCTCTATTAAGAACTTGTCGTCTTTTTTCTTTTTAACTTTCATAAGAGTTTTAGATATTTACAAATGTATATTCAATTTTGATATGAAATTGTTGGAGAATATAGGTACTACAAACAGAGGTTAGAGGCTATAAGAAGGAACTGCTTTTCCGATCGTATGAAGGGATTGTTGTACACAAGCGCAAATAAGATTAGATTTATTGTGCACATGAAATTAAATACTTTTTTTATATCAAATTGAGGATCACATGAGGTAAAATATCTTCATAGTATGTATTGAATTTTTTATGAATATTTTATTTCTCCAAATAAATTATTTTTTTGTGTACAAAAAATGTGATGAACATATCTTTTTATATCTATGTTTCTTGTTTAACAATGATGATTTAATCTTGATGTCAAGCAGAGTTGTTGTATACGGATACTGTGAAGTTCATGATTATTATGATCACATTTTTTCTTCCATTTTGAATCTCCGGGTAATTGTTTTTCTAATTTTAAGATTGACTTTCTCTTTTTTTTTCTTTTGAAAACGTTTGAGTTCTTATACCATGAAACTTATTTTTTTTTTCCATATTTGCCTTTTTCCATTTATCAGGTAGGTTTCTTGTAAATTTCTCAACTCTTTAAATATAGATAGTAAGAATACTCTTTGCAATAATAAATAAATATTATTTACAAAACAATAACATGCACTCTTTATTTATCGATATATAATTCATTCCCTTTTGGATCAAGTTACCGTGAATTTTTAATTACAATTTTAGAATTAGAACTTAATATACTTTCTAATTAGTAATTATATGAATATTTAATACTACAGAATAGTAATTATGTAGGAATAAAAGGCTAGAGAAGTTACATAATGCAGTTATAGACCATTTTTACTATCATAAATACTACTACTAGATATCCATAATTGTTATTTTAATTTTAAAATTGTCTTTCTCTTCTTTTTTTTTCATTTCTATTTCATTTTTTATTTTTTGGTGAAAACGTTTCAGTTCTATTACCATGAAACTTATTTTTTTCTCATATTTACCATTTCCCATTATATTTAATTAATAAATAGATATTAAATAATAACATATTAAATAGTTGCACCACTCATCAAAATCCGTTCCTATTCTCTTCAACCACATTAATAAACCAAGAAGACATAATTCTTCATTAAACAACAATATAATGTCATTAGGTAAAAACCTTTTCATTTTCTCTTATTTATGTGTTATATTTAAGAATCCAAAAAGACATAATTTTACATTAAATATTATATTTCAAATCAAGTCTTTTCACCTCTTCTAATACTATCTCTTATTTATATTTAAATCATATTATCACTATGTATCTAATTGTATGAGCAGTAGAAACTGAACTTAAGTAAGGTGGAGCAGTACTTTTATTGTTCTCTTTTCTTTTTTTTTTGATGAAAATACTTTTGTTTTATTAAGTCTTAATTTGATGTCTAATTATATGAATGCTGGAATCTGAACTTATGTAGAGGGAGTAATACTTTTATTTTCTGTTTATTTATCCTTTGAAAAATACTTCATTGAACTTTTATTTGATGATTTCAAATTTTCTTATATGTCATTCATTTTTTTTTAGGTTGGTTCATAAGTATGTATATACACAAATTCAAAGTTTATCTTTTCTTTTATATGCATTTATTTTTTGCACGGTTTATATTGTTTTCTTTTTTTCTACCATATTGTTAATATCTCACAATGATTGTGTTGTATTTCATAATTCAAAATTTATAGATGACAGAATTAATAATTTTGAATGAGTCAAAGAAGACGAAGGGTATGTCAATTAAACAGTTAACAATGATTATTTTTATAACAAATAAATACTATTTTTTTTGTAGGTGTACACTATGAACTTGATAATGATCTACTAACCATCCCAAGGAAGACATATGTTGATCGAATTTTTTTAAAACTATTACAAAACACTACTCTCCATCGACGACAACTTATCGATATGTATGCATCTGTAAAAAGGTGGAGGCTACTATTCGTTAAAAAGAAGACGGAAACTTTAAGGCATTAAATATTTTGCAACTATAGTGCCGACATTTAAATTATGTGTTGTGACATATTAAAAAAAGTACTCTTAACAAGTTGAATAATTGATATATTATAAGAATTGTATATTTGAAGTCATTGTAGACTACGTTTGAAATTCACTTGATAACAATATTTTTGTATGATGTGCCTTGCAATGATGATAATTTCAATTGAATATAATCGTTCATTGATTCGAGCTTATATTTTACACATCGTACACTTATATTTTAGAAGTATTTATACTAATTAACATTGTATACACGTGCAACGCACGTGTTCGAAAACTAATCTGTTAAAATACTCCAATAATAATAATAATAATAAATTTGTTGTTTATCCTATTTTTTTTTGGTTAAAATTAGGGTTGATTTGGACTTGTCAACTTGAGTAGATTGACTTGAAGTCTTAAACCATTTATTTTAAGCCCTAAATGAATATATGACCCACTAATTTGCCGTTAGATTAGGTAGGTACATATATATGAATCAAATTAAACTAGCTCCTATAAGCTAATTAATACGATTTTGAAATAACTTGATGAAAAAATCTATCCTTTTTGTGGCTATTATTATATCTATCTTCTGCTTCGTAGTTTACTTTTACTTGTCATATTTTGCTTCTAAAGT